ATTTTTCCCTCCCTTCCCCTATGATCCTCTGTCTTGTTTCTCAAATTCCTCATATCAGTGAGATCATATGATAATTGTCTTTCTCTGATTGACTTATGAAATAGTTGTGTTTTGAAGAATGGACTCTGGCCTAGGATTTATGAGTTGACACCACTCAAATTTTTAAAGGCCCAGCCAGAAAACCATTGGCAATCAAATAATTGATTGATGAAGTTACTGCCACACAGTCTTATCATTTTATTATGTAATTTTCCCTCTAGGCTCTTGCATACAAAAAAGGAATTGATGCTTCAAAGGTAGAATAATTCTGAACTCAGATTCAATGAATCAGACTCTGGTCATTACCTACCTAAGGGCTATTTCCCATTTCTCCACCCTTCTCCCTTTGATCTTAGGCAAGGTTGGCAACTACCACACCCCCAAAGTATTTGATCATGATTAGTCTAAAGCAATTATCCCATTTTTTTTTTCAACAAATAACTTGTCTGGGAGTAAGGATGTGACCACTTCTGACCAGTGAAATGTAGCTGAGGTAAGAAATCAAAATACAGAAGTTCATCTGGAGCAAACCTTTTGCTGTGGCCTTCCTCCCCTTTTTAAGACATTAGATTGAGGATGTGATGCCTGGAACTGTGGCAGCTATTTTATATCCATGAGGTAACAAATAAAAGGATGAAAACCCAGCATGCCAAGGATGGCAGAGCCAAAGGATAGAAGGAGCCCCAGTTCTTAAAGACATTGTGGAGCCATTAAATCAATCCTAGAACTTCCTACTTGCAAACTTGTTCTATACCATTACTAGTAAAATCACTGTTAGGTATTCAGTTACTGGTACACAACACCATCCTCACTGAAATGGCTACTTATCTGTGCTATGACTTTGGCCAAGTCATTCAGTCATTCAGATTCTTCATCTCTAGGATAGGGATAATGTTACTTACTCTGGGCTCTTTAATAATTCAGTAACTATTCACTGAGGTAATATATTAAAATATCTTGTATGATGTCAGCCATAGTAAGAGGTAGATATTAATATCATCTCTAAAAAGTGGGATTGCTCATAATTCAGGCCCATGGAATAAACAGCTCTCATAATAGCACAAGTAACAACCACTAGTATTAATTGAGTGGTTGTTATGGGTCAGGCACTGTTCTAAGAACTTTATGCCTGATTTAATTTTGCAAACAACTTCCTGATGTGTATACTGTCCAAGCCGAGAATTGAGAAAACCCAGGTACAGAGATATTGAGTAGAGACCTTGGTCTAGAGCCTCCGTAAGGGGTGGAGTGGAGACGTAGGACCAGGCAGGGCTGGAGCTGCAGGCTGCTCTCATGAGCACTGCGTCAGATGACCTGCATTTCAGGCTTACCCCTGGACTCTGGTGGCCGAAGCTTTTTTTCAGAAGTGCAGCTGAACTGAATCAGGTCCAGATGTGGAAATCCATGACCACGTCTGACCACCAATCCCAGTATGTCACCTGGCTTCAGTCTCAGCCTGGTTTCCCAAGATGGGCCTGGGTCAGAGCCTGGCAGCCCACAGTAGAAGCCTTCTCACAGACACTTGCGGTCCAGTGTTTTCCTTCTCGAGATGGGACAACTTGACTTGTCCAACAGAGCCGCAACCGCTCCTTTGTGTCTTATGGTCAATCCATGCTGATCTTACCTGCCTGCCTTGCCACATTCGGACTTTTGAGTGGATGACTCCCCAACCTAGATTTTTATCTACAAAGGAAAGATGCTAGAAGTCGTGTCAATATGTTATAAAATGGAAGGTGGAGAGAGACGGCTGTGATTTAGGTGCCATATTTCAGGGTGTTCCCTCATGCTGCTTTGTTAATGGGCACCTTCCTGTTTCACTTGACAATACAGAAATCAAGGGTCCTTCTCAATTTGGATCACTGGGGTCATGTGCAAGCCAATGGCATATTCTGCATGAAGGAAAGGAAAATAATTTCTCCACAAGCATACAGGTGTTTTTGGAAATACCTAAGGTCCCTTCCCCCACTCCCTGACAGCAAGTATAAGACGCAGAGGAAGCTGGGGGTTCCGGCACCAGCAAAGACAAATGCAAAGATGCCTTTGGCTCTAGACAGCCTTCCTCTGAGGCAGGGGATGACAAACCTATTGTGTGAAGGGCCGGGCAGTAAATGTTTCAGACTTAACAGGCCACATGTAGTCTCTCTTGCCTGTCTTTCATCTTTTAAAAACATATTACAACCCTTTAAAAAAAACGTAAAATCCATCTTAGCTCAGGGCTGTGCTAAAACAGTCTCTGGGACGGATTTTATAGTCGTTTGCCAGCCCCTGCCTGAGGAAACAAAGAAATTATGGAGCCTTCTCCAGGCCAATTAAATCTGTTGCAAGGATCAATGCAAAGTAGAAACTGGCCCAGATGTGACTGGGGCACAGCACAAATGGAGCGAGAGGCAAGGCAAAGGAACAGAATTTGGAATCAGAGCACAGGTGAATCGGACCTTGCATCCAAACCCCCCATAGCTGGCCACCCCTTCTCCCCGACGGACCCTCAGGGGGCACTGAGCTCCCTGGGTACCTTGCTGGGGGCCGTCAGGAACTTCACCATGGTTCTTGCCAAGTTCTGTTTTCTTCTGAAAGCAGGAACTTTGGTTCAGAAACAAAGGCAAATGACCGGTCCTGGGTTGGGGTGGGAAGTAAGTTAAGGAGGAGGTCCAGTCGGCTAAATCCAGTGTGGACTTCACACTATCTTTTCCGCAAAGAGGACAAGTCTTCCCAGTTGCAGGGGATCTTTGGGCATGCGATGGAAGGTATCGTGGCCACCATTTCCAAGGCTGGACCTTTAAGGAAATGATGACTTCTGATTTTTATACAGGCCAGGGGTAAGTCACCTCGATGGTGGACCAAAGAGGGGGGCCTCCTGGAAGAGAAGGGGTAGTGAGCCTGCTGTGGACGGCAGTCCCCGGGAAGGGCTTCCTATCTAAGCCTTATACCTCATGGAGCAGGATTTTTGCCACCTCCGAGTCAGCGTATTTGGCCTTTTTTCTCGAAATTGACTGTTTGAAAGCACAATATAAGACATGGGTGTTCCTTCTCGAAGATGTGCCTGTGTAGAAATGATCATTGGGTCAAACCTGTAGCACGTGGACAAGGGGGCAACCAGGACCCCTCACTTTATAAAGCCTGTTTGGGGGAATGTTTTTTTTTTTCACTGTCTTATTACCTGGCAAAATAATTACCAGGTGGTGTGTGAATCACCAGTAGAGGTTGTAAAGTTCGAGGAAGTAGAATCAACCTTACAAACAGTGGATCTCAACGAAGAAGGAGATGCCACACCCGAACCCACAGAAGTAAGATTCAAAAGAGAAGAACGAAAACCACCGAGAACCTCCCTGATGGCGTTTCTCAGACAAATGGTAAGCCACCTGTTTCCAGCCCAGGAAAGCTGAAATACCCAGATCAGCTTTTGCGAGCAAAGGACCCGTCTCAGGTGGGGTGAGCCGTAATTGTAGGTGGTGTAGAGGGGATACACGTGATCTGTCGTGTTCAGGGAGACAATTGCTTTTCCTCCTTCTGACCCAATCATTGAGCAAGTCTCAGTTTATTGCTAATGTTCCTTAACCTTTCCTTAATTCCTGCTAACTCCCTTTTTAACAAAGAAAGAGCTGGTCTTGGGTGCTGAGCTTTGGCAGACGGCCGCATCCATGCAGAAGTTAATATTACTGTTCGCTTTCAATTTAATTTATTTTTAAAGTTTCCTTCTCTGTATGGCAAATGATATTGTTTTTCTCATTATGGTAATGATATGCAGTTTCCTTTGAGAGTACATTTATTTACACAAAGAACATAAGGCGTTGTTTAAAGGACTAGGTAAGAAATAGACCAAGTTATATACTGATGTTGGAAAAATTCTGAAAGTGATGTGTGAGTGACACAAATTTGGACAAAGCTGATTTATAAATAATTCCAATTATAAAGTGACAACATAATTTTCCCATAGTGAATGTGTATAACTCAGTTGGTAAATTTGCCATGCTTTTAGCTTGCAGAAAATGGAAAGAATGTGGGCAGATGTTATTTGGTGTCTCTGAAGTGTCATATACATTAAATAACAAAGCAACCAAGAACTTAAATAATTATAATGCAACAAAACCCAACTTGGTTGGAAGACAAAGAGCAAAAGCCCATGTAAAAGGTCATTGGTTTAATTCTCTTTTAATGAAAAACAAGAATTTCATTATAGCGTACCATTATTTTCAGGAGTATTTGGGAATTTAATCCTTTGAGAAAGCAACCCTTTGGTTTCACAGGCTCTGCCTGTTAAGGAATTCTTTCTAGTCCACAACACAACATAACATAACACAAAACCCTTGCCAGTGGGAGCTGAGGCATATTAGAAATGACTCTGTTAGGAATTGTCAACAGGAATCATCTTCTTTATCATTGGACTCTCGGAGAGTAGGAAATGTAGATAGAGTTAGTAGTGAGCAGGCTGTATGGCTGGGACCCCATCTATGTTCCTGGTCATTTACTCTGCAATTTGGCATCGAAAATGGGGATCGAGATCTGAGATTTTTCAACCAATTTTTACACAATGTCGGGAAAGAAAAGAACATTTGGGCTTTTTCTGGCAACCCATTGACATTACAAATGGCATCCCCAAATAGCTCATCATAACATTGAGAGTGATCCAACTTTCCCATTTCTGGGTGGAGTTGAGAGATTACCACCCCCCCAACATAGCAAATAGTATGACTTTCTTTTCCAAATAACCAACCTGAGACTTCTTCACTTAAAGACAAGAAAATGCAAGAGCCTCCAAATAAAACACGAAAGGTGTCTAAACCACCCACTACATCCATTCAATTCAAATCCTTGAATTCTAATGAGGTCCCACATTACTTAAATTCACCCTCCAGAGCTATCCTTTAGAGGTTTCTGGGGGATATTTTCTAGCAATAGAAATGGGTACCTCTGAACTGTTAGAGGAACAAGTTGGAAACAAAAGAGTCCTTTATAATTGATTCTCCGTAGGATAGGGATAGAGGTAGAAGAGGACACATTTTTCCGGAGCAATCTTCAGTGGATTCATAGCATCAGGTCTTATTATGTCCATTGTTCTTATTATCTACCGTCCAAGGAAAGGGTTATGCCTGGGAGCTTGAACATTATTCCCCTTTATTAATGTTGAAACTCCAAAGCTTCCATGACTTGGGGGATTCTCCCTAAAAATTCCAGACACCCTAGTGATTCTTGTCTTGCAGTCTGTTTTGTTTTCATTATAAAAATATATTACCATTGTGAATAATTCAAATACACAGACGATGTGGGTTTTCCGGTTCACCGCGATCCCACAACTCCCTGTTGTCACACCCAGCTCACTCATTTATGTCCCTGGCCCTATCCCTGGGGGTATTTGGTGTTGCATCCTTGATATAGCACTACCTCATTCTTTATAACAACTTCATTGAATCACATCATCTGGATTTATCATACTGGGATTCACCATTGTCTCTTGATGGACATTGGATTTGTTTCCAACTTGTTGCACTTCATTTGGTCATTTTTTCAACAAAGAATTATTGAGTACCCACTGTATTCCAGACATTGGGATATAACGGTAAGTAGACGCGGCCCCTGTCCTCACGGAGAATAAAGCCCAATGAGGAAAACATGTTTATTTTTAACTCTAGGCCATATGCAGTGAGCACCCACCATGTGTCTCATGCACATTGATCTCAGGTCCTTCACTAACTAACCTGATGAACATCCTTGCACACCTACCTTTATGCACATGGGCTAATATCCCCCACAGCATGCATTCCTGGAAGTTGGCTTCAGCAATCGTTTCAGGAAACACTTTGAGCTAACATTGCATGACTTCCAAACTAATTTAAAGTCCAGATTTATGCGGGAGAAAGCAAAACCAAACCAACCCTTCCTCTCAGGGCTTGAAAATCGAGACAACATCTGACTCATCACTGAGGTTTTCATTTTTTATTTTTTGAGCCAAATAAGTGGACGTTTCAAAATGATGTTATATATTGTTAGAAAAACATAAGTTATTTTTAAAATAATTGATTTAATAGAAGAGGAAGCTCAATTGTAAATGTGTCACCCTTGTTTTATAATCAATGTCTCCATTCATCAAATCATTTTTGATTTTCTACCTCCTCGCCTTGGCCTCCCTTAAATTTCTCTCAAAAAACATATTTTGCTGTCCCATGGCACTGTGACTCATGGTTGCATATTTAAAAAAAATAAATGCATCGCCCAGGTTATTTCTAAAGAGATCTTTTTCTTTCTAGAAATTAACCTCTCATAAAAAATAGAAATGGAAAGAATATCATTTTTTAAATAATCTTATTTCAGGAAAAATAAGTATATTTCAGGAAAAATAAATAGAGTCCCCAAAGTCCTTGCGCTGCATCCAACACAGGTAGTTCTATCACTTCACAAAAATCCTATGGGCTCCTACAGATTTTCAAAATAATTGCAAAGAGTAGCTAAGACATCTGTCATACCCTAAATAGAAAAAGATTCTTATATGTATTAATTCAAGTGTAAGTCAAGAAATTGGATATTTGAAGTGCCAGTATATTTTTATAAAGTGAGTGGGTGGAGAACTCTATTCATGTGCCCACAAACCAGGTAGGCAGATGAAACCATACGGTGGTAGATGGGAATATAGAGATATAGATTTATAATTTGTCAATATTAATAACACCCTGTACTTGAAAAGTGCTTTCCTCCTCTGAACCCTTGTCACCTACTGTTTCATTTAGTCCTCCTCCTCTTTCTTTAGACCATTCGTTTTGTAAGAAGCTCTTTGTTGGAATCATGTTCTCAGGCACAGAGAGGGACTGTGAGCTTTAATATTGAGCACATATAAGATCCAAATGAGGATACAGCCAGGAAATCACGGTCTTCCATTGCTTACCTTCAATCTAGAAATCTAATAAAACCTGTTGAAATTGACCATCTGGAGGAAAAAGGAGGATGGTTTGTAATGGTGACTGTAAAACAAAAAAAACAAGAACAGGAGTCTTCCAGCTCAAGTTCTTGATCTCCCATTCTGCCCCAAGTACTGACTATGAAAACAGAGTTGTGTTTCGGGAGGTTTCAATTTCTATCTCCGCAGCAGCCTGTGTTCCTTTCTACCCTTACAGGAGATTCTGTGGTCACTTGGCACTCTCGGTTAATAATTATAGTAATGATGATAATAGCTACTGTGTATGTATCATGTGCCAGTGGCCTGGCCAGCACCATCCTAGCACAGTGCATGCCTTAGCTCATTTATTAGCCTAAAAACTCCATGCAACACATTCCCATCCCACCGTGCAGAGAAGGGCATGTAGACTCAGTGTGTTTAAGTGATTCGGTCAGGGTCACAGAGCTGGAAAATGGCAGCACCAGAACTCAGACTCAGGTGTTTGTTGATTCTAAAGCTCATCCCCTGTACTTAGATGTGTTTGTGACTTTCTGTGCTCCTGGCAGCTGATTTTCTTTGAGAGTACATGGAGAAAGGACAGCCATAGCTCCATTTTTGTGATTCTCCTCATAGTGTTTTCTGCGCTCATCTGAAATCACCTGAAATTACAACAAGGCAAGAGAGAGGAGAATTAATACATGACTTACATAAAGCTCGGATGTACGTTTTCTGAATATGTTTGTCACTAAACTGAGATTTGCCTTGGTTGTGTAATTTTGTCTGATTGTCCATTTCGGTTTGAAGTGAGCATCTTGGTAAAACACGAAGGTTGGACTCATGGCCTTTGTTGATTCTGGAAATTTCTAGCAGGTCCAGTTCCTTGGATTTGTGTAACAATGAGGCTGACCTAGTAAACAATCCCACACAATAAATTAAAATATCTTCCCAATTCTTCTTTTAAATCTCAACTTCGGTTGAATTAGATCTCCACCAAAAATACACTCGCACTCCTTTCAAAGAAATGCGAGCTGCCCACCAAACATTTCCACTAGAACTTTGAATATCTAAGAGATACACGTTGGAGAGGGTTCAAATGCTCCTCAGAGTATCAAGCTATTAGAATACATGACACAATGAAAGAAATAAAAATGACTTTATTAATAGGCAAAGCTTGGATGTCACAACCAGATTCCATCCCAACACTGCAGGCTGGATGCCCTGAGATGCTTCACCTTTGGCTCTCACGAATAAAAATAAACCCCTGGAAGAAAGTTGATCAGTAATGAACTAGAAAAGCTCTGAAATTGCTTGGTAGTCTTCGAACTGTTCTTTAAAGTATTAGGTAGTCCCGAAAAAAATTTGGGTTCTTTAAATGGTAACTCTATTTATGACAGCTGGAGCAAATGAGCTTCTGTGGTTATTGTCCTTTGAATACAGAGCCCGACATGAACTCTTTGACTTGGTCTCTAAAAGAGGACTCAGCAAAGAGAAAAGAATGATAGAAAACAAAGAGAGGAAGGGAGGGAGGGACTTATTAAGACCCTTAGTCTAAACTCAGCATGCAGTCACCTTGGCATATATACAGCTTTTTATGCCTCAAAATGAGTAACAGAGGAAAATCATAGAAAAGCTTGAGATAGTCTCTTTTTTAAAGAAGAAGTTGAACTTCTTTGCAATGAACTCCCGAACAGCCGGAGGGGCTGTTTTCCGGATGCTAACCTAGATCCACTGCTGCCAAGAAAGACTTTTGATTCAATCCAAACTCTCCTCCAAGGGCTAGCAAAGACAGGGAGGGGAAGAAAGTAGATTTAAACCTTAAAGTGGCAGAGGACCTAACAGATATCAAATTGAAACCACTAGAGGGAAGTTAAAAAATCTCTCTCTCTTGGGCAGGAAGGTGGCACCAGGGGCCGTGCCTGCCTCCTGATCTCCACTGAGGTTTTGCTTAAAAAGCCATTTTGTTTGTTTGGCTGGTTTTGCCATTCAGCATTCCCCAAAGGCCAGCTAATGAGGATGTGACGCCATATTCTAAAGGACACTAGGGAATGTGTTTGGGTAGGAAGGGCTCTTAATGACAGCCTGAATTCTGGAGGCCAGTGAAATCCCAAAATGGCAAAACCTTTGAATGCAATGAGGCTGACAGAGCTGGTTACAGGGAGAGAAATGATAACCGAGAGAGTCCATTTCTTTTTCTAAATGTTCTCAAGCAAGACTGGCCCTTGTAGAACAATGCAGAAGACCCAGAGGAAGACAAAACCACTTTCCATCCAAATGGATCTGAAGTATGTGTAGAGGACAAACAGATCCTTATTTGCCTCTGGGCTGAATACCTTGGTGAAACCCATGACAGTGATGTCCCTAAGAAAAGCACATGGAACTTCCAGACACCAGGGGTTTGGGCTGAAGAAAGATTTCTTCCATTCCTAACCAATCAAGAAGCATGTATCAAGGTTCTACCTTATGTCAAGCTCTGTAAAGGTTGTTTCTGAGGCAGGACAAGACCTAGAAATTGCCATACTGTGTTAAACCATTGACAGTCCTAGTCAAGACTTCTGAATCTTAGTGGCACCAAGTAGTATTTAAAGACGAGCATGGTTGACCTCTGAGGATGGGCATGTTCCTCCCTATTTGAGATTTATCAACCTCCATCTTATCCAAGCCCTTATTATCTTTCCTAATTAGGGGGCTTCATAGTAGATGTTTAATAAAAAATGTGTTCATTGAATGGCGGCTCCTACCTTGGAGGGACAGTACCGAGAGGTGGTTAAGAGTATGGGATATGGAGTCATTGCCTGGTGTCAAATCCTTGCTCCCTAACCTGCTAGTTCCGTGCCCCATGCTGGTTTCTCTGAGCTTCCATTTTCTTGCCTGTAAAAGGAGGCAAAAAATTATTCCTCCATCTTAAGGTTCTGCATGATAAATAAATGAACTAGTGAGGGTTATTATCTCATTTGGCACACTGCCTGACCTTTAGTAAGCACTCCACTAAGAGTTAGATTTCATGAATAATAATTTTCATTATCTTTACTAATATGAGCACCATACTTGGTTAAGAGACATATAATATTAATCAGTCAAAAAGTTATTTGAGTGCCTTTGATGTTTTTACCTGTTCTTGATGCAGGTGTTACAGTTTCTTGCCATCTGCTGACAGAACAGCGAAGATCATAACAGTGGGAGCTGAAGTCTTCCTGTTTGCCCCACATTGCTTACCCCCATTTCCTACACTCCCCTCCTCCAGCAGAGGAGGAGGAGACGATAAGCAATGACCAAATATGTGGGAATTAAACCCCAGGCAACATTGTTGATAAGAACTAGGCAATTCATTACCAGATTTCTTAGGTACTTTTATCAAGCATCAGGCATAGAGCATTACTGAATCCACAGCGGAGACCGCAGGCCCCGGTATTGGTCTGCATTTGTCTATGCCAATTAGCTTTAAAAAGTGATGCTCAAACTCAAGTATGCTTTAGAATCACCCTGAGGGCTTGTTGCTCATCCCCCCACCCAACCCCGAGAGTTTCTGACTCAGTAGATCTGGCGTGGTTCTCAAGAATTGGTATTTCTAACAAACTCCAAAGTGATGCTGAGGCTGTGGCCCTGGGATTGTGGTTTGAGAACCCTTCACTGAGCGTGTGCTTTCAGGAGCCAAAGCTGTGAATTCAACCCATCCAGCCCTATCACTGATGCCACAGGCCACAGCAGTTACTAAAAATGGGAAGTAGGATATTCAACAAACCCCACCTCTCTGCGAGGGAAAAAAAAAAAATACAAGGACACATCCACCACCTAAATGTTACCAATAGAAGGCTACCAATGGTTTAGTCATTCATTCATTCAACATGACCCACCACCTCTTGGTTCCAACATCAGCATTTTGGTCATCATTTCTTTATCCCAGAATTACCTAATTCCAGGGTTTAAGACTTCCATTATTGTTGTTATTTGGGGAAAACCAACACTTGAATATAATCGGACTCTGGTTACAAGCCACATGGAAATTGTGTATCTCATGAGTAGTACATTTCTAGCTGGTCTTCCATTTGTCTTGACCCCAAATCTCAATCATGAATGCATGAGGTCATCCATTTCAGAACTCCCCTTGCATTCCCCTTGTTGCTGTGCTCATGGTAGCTGAAAGGCCATTGTCTGTTTGTTATTTTAGTCAGTGAAAGGGGATGGAGGGATCACCCACTCAGAAGAAATAAATGGGAAAGACTCCAGCTATCAAGTAAGTGACACGTCAACTCTGTTTGGTGGTGGGTTTAGCTTGCATGTTCTCACTTCTTTCCAGCCTAGTTGCCAATGCAATTCTCCGCCACAGACAACTCATCTACCATCTCTAGGTTAAGCACCTGCTGTATACCAGGCACTATCTTGGGCTCTGCGGATACGTGCATGAACAAGCTAGAGTGTCTCGGCTATTTCATTTAACACATGCTTTTCTGTCTTCTCCACATGGCAAATCCCTTCCTGTCCTTCAAGTCTTGGCCTAAATGTCACCTCCTCAAGGAGATGTTCTATTTCCGCCCATCATCATTGCATCTTGTTCTTTCACTTCATGGAATTTATCACACATTGTAATGAGTCATTTGTCTATTAGTTATGTCTCCTCTACCTCTTCCTTTCCGTGTCTGGAGCATCCGTGGAGCGAGGGAGGAGCCTCTTTTATTTTTCTATCACATTGCATAGTGCCTGGCGTAGAGCAGGAGCTCTTCCTTGAAAAAAAAGTAGGTGAAAGACATGGGATAATGTGGGGTTTTTTTCCATTATTTTCTCCATTCTAAAGAAACATAGCTATGACATCTTTATAACTACACATTTCCTTTTTTTAAAATGGGATCATCTCATGCTCAACACCCTGTTTTATAACCTGTACTCTTTCTTAACTTAGAAATACACCTTCACAAAAATGTCCTCAAATATTCTTCTACTAATGTTTGCAATACAGAGAACTGGTTAAGAGCATGAGTTGCAGGCTCAAGACTGCCTGCGTTCAAACCCTGGCTCCGCTACTTTTTAGCTGTGTGACTAAAAACACCTTACCAAATCTCTCCGTGCCTCAGTTTCCTCCTCTCTACAATGGAGCTGGGGAAGGACTGCCTCGTGGCATTGTCATGCTTAGATGAGTCAACTCATGTAAGGTCCCTGGAACAGACCTAGTACCGGGGAATCAATAAATGTTAGTCGCTACGTGAAGCCGCATGGGCTGCCTTACAAACTACCATAGACTCAGTGGTTTGACAACAGAAATTTATCTTCTCACAGTTTTGGAGGCTGGAAAATCCAAGGTCAAGATGCTGGCATGGTTCTTGGTGAGAACTCTCTTCCTGCTTTCCAACAGTTGTTTTCTGCTGTGTCCTCACATGGCAGCTCTCACAAGGACACTAATCCTATTGGATGAGGGCCCCATCCTTATGACCTCAATTAACCTTAATCATTTCTTACTCCAAATACTTTGGCACTGGGGGTTAGGGTTTCAACATATGAAGGCATACTAGTTGCTATTATTTTGTTACTATTACTATTATGCCACTGATAGGAAATTACCACCCTAGTGTATTGTTCATATCACACACACACAAATGGACAGCAATGACTATAAATAATTTATGATATTTCTATTTCCATAATAATTGGATTAGCCCATATATTTCAACAGGGAATATATTGCTTTTTGCTACACTCAAATTATTTTTGTTTTTCTTTTTCAATTTATGACTATACCTGGCCCCAAACTCATTCTCTAGACCACTTCGGAACCAAAAATCCTGAAGTTAACTACCTTGGAAATATGATAAATTTACTTTATTCAATATGAAACATTTAGATATAATTGTACATTTTGTCTAGGATCTTGATGTGAAACAGTGATGCCAATCATCTTAGTGATTCTAAAATGTAAGTGAAGTCAGTGAAAATCGGAGTGAGCTAGAAACCTCATTCTATTTACACTCACCTAGGAGTGTTCTGAGAATCCATTAGAGGGCCCTGGATCCAGACTTGAGGAGACAGATGTGTAATCTTGGAGAGATGATAAGTGCTTAGTTGAATTTTGGGGGTGGGAAGAGACATTCTCTGTTCCTTTCCAATTTGCCCTCTCAGGGTTATAAAAGTCTTGATTGATGATTCCAGAAGAAGAAGCCTCAGGCACCTCCTGGTCTAGGTATGCTTCTAAGGTCTGAATCAAATGGGATGCTTCCATGACCTTGTCCTCCAACTTCCTGCCAGCATCACTGGGTTCTAGGGGAGGATACACTCCAATGATTTGGATGAGAATAATTTCTGTTATAAATTCTGAGAGAGTCAAATCCCAAGCAAAGATTTTAAATCATCTACATTTAATGACAAAGCAATCATCACACAGTTTTAGATTCTTAGCTTACTCTGAATATAAGGAACCATCCATCTGTTATTTTCAGAAGTTAGTTTCTAAGCCATTAAGAAGAACATTTAAGCCTAATAGCATGGCGTAACCCTGTGGTAAATGGACCTGATCCATTGAAAGCTCCCTTCCTGAAAAAAAAAAAAAAAAAAAAATCAATGTCCTGTGAAAGCTATTGATGTGTGGGCACTTCTCACTCCCCACCTCACAGTGATTTGCTGAGGGAAATAGTGTAGAAACATCTGGAAGGCGAGTTGCTGGCCATTCATTCAACCCATGTTGGTGGAGACTTACTATGTGTCAGATGAGGTGCTGGGAATAAAGCCATGGAAGACAGAAGAGTTTTGTTCTCTGGAGCTCCCCTTCCAGCAGAGAGAGGCAGGCGGAACGTTCTCAAGTGAGCCAAGAAATCCCCAAGATTAAGGCAAACATAAAGAAAACACAGCAGTGTTTTGTCAGAGAGGGGTCGGGCTTCTTTAGACCGTCTAAACAGGAACTGCGTCTCCAAGGAGGCGACATCTGAGCTGAGACTTGACAGCAAAGAAGCAGCAATCCTGTCAAACCCTACAAACATACTGAGCAGAAGTTACAGCGAACGTGAAGTCCCTTTTTTTGAGAATAAGCTTGTTTGAGGAAGAAGAGGAGACCATGTGTCTAGAGCAGAAGGAACAGAGGGGAGAGGAATAAGAGACAAGGTTGGAGAGGCCCAGGGACACTCGATTTAACAAGTATTTCCTGAGTCCTTGGTCTGTACCTGGCTCTCAGAGCCACACAGAAAGAATCTCTCAGAAAGAATCTCTGCAGGCAATGTCGGGTCAGGCTGACCGACTCTCCCCAGTTTGCCTGGAACTTTGTGGTTTTAAAATTAAGTTGCATGTCCTGGAACCCCCTCTCTCCCAGACCAAACAAGAAGACCGGTCCCTTGATGTTTGGCCTTCTCCATGGCCAGACACCATGTGATACAGGCTTTAATCCTCAGACCACCATGAGGTATGACGTCTTTTGTTGCTTGCACACAGATGAGGAAGCTGAGAGAGCCAATGATTTCTTCCAGGTCGTACAGCAAGGATGTGATGGAACCAGGACCACGCCCTGTTCTTTTGACTCCAAACACGAAGCCCTTAGCCAATAACTGGATCTTACCATCTTCTATGCAACAAAAACAGTCACCAGGGTGTGCAAATGGTCTGTGGTCTTTCTGAAGAGCCTCGTGGTGGGAGTTTCTGTCTTACTGTACAGGGGATCTGCTCTCGGCTCTCTGTTGCATTTGGGCATCTGTATCTTACTTCGCATTTGCTACAACTTCGGCAGCGGGGGTCCGATGGAAATAATCAGAGCGGGTGGTGGCAGGAGAGCTTCTTGGAATGACTCAGTGTTGGATGTTTCCTTTCTCCAAGGAATTCTGCCCTCAGGAAGCTTTTGGGACCGGGGCATCTTCTGTCTTCTTGCTTATTTCTAAGGGGTATATTGATACTGATGAGAAATGACAGTTCTCTGCTTATCGCTTTCTCCATCAAACTGCAACTTTGTCCAAGAACTTTTTCACTCGGGAACAATCTATCACTTTTACAAATCAGAGTTGTAAACATATATTCAGCGGGTCAAATGTGGCCCACGGGTCAAATGTGGCCCACGGGGTTGCTGGTGTTGTGGCTGTTTTCAAGTTTCTATGCGAAAAATAGAAGACTTGACAGCACTGGGGCTGCAATCCTACATAGCATCTTGGTTGGGTCTGAGCAGCTGTTGCCCCTTTGGACAGGGCATGTGACAATTCACCACAATCCTCCCCGCCACTCCAATTTTCTCCCCAACATCAAAGCCAGCATTGCTTGAACTGGTGTTTTTCTTACACTAGAGAAATATTTCTTACATTGCTCTCCCAACTGGGGAAGTAAGGTCTCTATGTGATTATTCTTACCCCTGCCCTCTGTCATGTTTTTATTTCATCTGTCTGGCCCCTATAGTAATTTCAGTTCAAGTAAGTTATGGAGAAAAGGCTTTTGCTTTACATATATTTTGTTATCTGTAATTTACCTAGCATTTTCTAGAATTTTGGATTTTACAGCTTCATCCTTCCAAACTGTAGGAACCAAGTAGGACTGCAAAAATTTCTCTTCAGCATGAAAGATGTACATCCAAAATTTAAAACACTTATCTTCTCTCACCACTGTTTTATGAACAAAAGAACAGTTTCACACCAGAAACTAAGATAAACATAACCATGAAAAAAGGAATAGGCATCCCAAGAAAAGAGTCACATGTGGTTTTAAGTGGGAGAAACCCTCTGAGAGCTGGCTTAAGCACAGAAGGGTTTCAGGAACAGCTAGATCCAGGGGCATATGGGAGGTTGTCAGCACCTGGGTTCTTTCTCCCTCTCTCTCTCTTCATCTCTCAGCTCTGCTTTTCTCTCTATTGGCTTCCTTTTCAAGCAGATTTTTCCTGGAAATGTCACTGGCTCTGGAAGCTCCAGGCTTTTATCTTCACAGTTTGGAATCCAATGGAGAGTAGACAGACCTCTCTCTCGGTTGATTTAGCAAGGTTCTGTGATTGGCTCAGTTTTTATCTGCATTCAGCCATCCTGAACCAATCACAGCAGCCGGATCATGTGCATGGCTCTGACTGACCAGGCCTGAGTCCTGTGCCTTTGTCCAGGGGCAGAATTAATTTGTCTGAACCACGGTGAATAAAGGAGAGAAAAGGGTAGTTCTCCAAGGAGAATAAAGGAGAGAAAAGGGTAGTTCTCCAAGGAAAATGCAAGTTCTAGTCCCAGAAGGAGGAGAGAAGAATGCTTGCTGGGAAAGCATTAATGAATTTTTAGATAAACAAATGTCTCCCACTGTGACCTTGAACCGTCATAAGTATTTGCACCTTTTTCTTATTTTTTTTTTCAGTTTCACCCAGGACTCATGAACACGTAGACCCCATCCAACACTTGAACACCTCTCTTCTGACATACTTATTTCCTGCTACTGAGTGTTGTCTTATAGCTACTAAACATGAATTTTGTTTGAACTTGCTGTAGAAGTCAGACTCACCGGAGAAGGCGATCACATCCCCAGAGCCAGAGCCGGCGGGAGCAGACCAGAAGGGCAAAGAGAGCTCCTCCAAGGACAAGAAGGTGGCGGCTGAGGGGAACAAGCAGAAGAGCAACAAGCAGGAAGCCAAAGAACCGGTCCAGTGTGTGGAACCGGCCGCGGGGGAGGCGAACTCGCTGCAGAATGGGGACAAGTCCCAAAAAAGACAGGAGAAGCGGCGACAGTCCCTCGGGGGCTTCTTTAAGGGCCTGGTAGGTGGATCATTCATCACCTCTTTCTAGGCTCTTGGGCCAGGAGTGTGGTTTACACCTTCAAGGTGGGACTGGCCTGGACCTCTGTCAAAGAAATATTGCTGGAGCACTTGCTGTATGCCAGGCGCTGTGCTAGGCTCGGAGAGCAGGCTGGACAGATGCATCACTGTTTGGCCGGACACTCCGGTGCCGATGGCTGGGGGCAGGGATACTGAGCGGGTGAAGAACAGGGAGGCAGAAGGCAGGCACGGGGGAGCCTGAATGTGAGGATGTGACACCCCCTCCCCGGGGGGTTGAAAGGAGTGTCAGGGAAGGCTTCTCGGAGAAGACGACCTCTACGGTGGGGCCTCAGATTAGCCTGTGGAGGAGGAAGCAAGGGGAGGCCTGAAGAACCAGTGTGTTCCAGGCAATGGAGAGACAGCAGAGAAGTGACATTCAGTCTTGCTGGAAGAAGGCATAGGAGGACAGAGGCAAGGTGGCAGGAACAGGTGGTGATGAGGAGCATCAGGATTCACCTGTGGCCAAAGGGAGCCTTGAAATGTTTAAATCAGGAAACTGCTCTGAACCTGACCTTGGGTGGTGGGTGTACAGAGGTGACTAAAAATTGCTCCTTCCTTCCAGAGAGGCCTAGTGCAGGGTGAGCGGAGGCCAGACATTCTGTAATTAATTAACCTCTGGGTTATTTTGTGTGTGTGTTTGGTTCTTCTCTGTCTCCTCCCCTAGACTGGACGGCAGTGACGACACTGTCATGGGCAGATGTGCTGTCCTCCCCAGCATGGTGGCTAGAGCATAGTAGACACCCAAGAAGGGTTTGTTGAATGAAGGAAGGAATGGCTGGGGGAAATATGGCACTAGGAAATGTTTTCTTATATTTGGGATAATGTAAATCCTGGCAAATGAGGAGAGTCTGAAGGTCATTAATCAAAAGAGAAGCAAGGTGGTCAAGCATCCACTAGGAGGAGAAACAGGGGAAGTCACACCTAGGACTCACGGGAATGTGGCTTGAGCCCATGGGGCAGGACAAGGAAATCACACTGGCAGTAGCCATGGGGCTGGAGTTAACGGGTGTTAACCTTCAGGTTGTGATAGAGATGGGGCAGGTACATGAAGCAAACTGCCCTAAAGCGATTGATCATTCCTGATTGTCCCAGTCGCTGCACATCTGTAGGTATTGGTGACCTCTGATCGATGGAGGTGGGGGAGTACGATGGTTCCCCTGGGCCCAAGTTTGGTCTCCAAACAGCGTCTGTGGGAACCTGTTAGAAATGCAGACTCTCAGGCCCCATGTTTATTTTATGGATGAATGCCATCGTATTTCCCTCTGGCCAGTGTGTCTAGGTATGGGTACAGAACCTCAGCGTGAGATAGTGCTAGAAGTCATGGTTTGAGGCTGTTTGGAAATGGGAAGCCCTGGTACAGAGCCCCTCTCCTACTCCCAAGCCTCTGGTGTAAAGCCCTCTCCGGTTTTTAAGAGGTGATGAAGACTGGAGACCAACCATCAAAGCGGAGGGAAGAGGGGGGTGGGCTAAAAGACTGATCATGCTTTGAGTGGTTTTGCTAGAAAACTTGTCTCCATTCTCTGCTCCAGTTCCTTGGAGAGGAGTGTAAACCCTTATCACACTTTTCTAGACATTTCCAAACTGACTATGCATTTTTTTCTGCCCAAAGTTCTGGTGGAACCATTCCCTGCCAAGCCACAGTGCCTGGGGTGGTGTACCCCATGGGGAGGGTGCTGTTCTGGAAAGATTCTGAGCTCACGGGCCCAGTCAGTTCCTCACTTTCTTGGTGGTTTTTGGTTGTTTTCTGGGTTTTATTTTATTTATTTTATTTTTTCGTTAGAGGCTCATGGAGTGTTCTCTGCATATCTCCTTACACACAAAATCCCTGGATCTAACAGGATGGATCTCATCCGGTAGTTCTGAACCTGTGATTTTCTTTTCTTTTTTTTTTTTTTTTTTAAGATTTTTTTTATTTGCAAGAGAGAGAATGAGAGACAGAGAGCATGAGAGGGAGGAGGG